ATATAATTTGTGCCTATATAAAGGCCCCTTCCCTCATGTTATTTTCATTAATTCAATCATTCAAGAAGTCAATAGAAATCTAGAACTTTGTTCTTCCAACTTTGCTTTAGTGTTTTCACCAGAATACTACTGCAATTTTATTCATTTCAATAGGCGCGGTTGTGGCTAGAGAAACACTATCGGCGATTCAAGGCGCGAGTCAGCGGCTTATCGGCAGTCGAAACACACGATCCTCATCTGGTCGGCCTTTCGTCGGCCGTCCGACAACTTTTTCCGGCAACCTTTACATGACTGATCGTAAAAAGACTTGACTTGGCTAAATATGCAAGAATTGCTCAGGGCTTGTCTGTTAAATTTTTAAAATCACTCGGAGAGGGCTTATATAGCACCTTCGAGGCCATTTTCGAACAAAACTCGAACCAAACGACATGATTATGACCTGATCTTACTGGTATCAACTTAAATACATAAAAAAAAAAAAATTAAAAGGAATGTACCCCTTGAATTGCTCGTGAAATGCACGACGACTTTCGTTTACATAAAAAAAAATAAAAAGAATGTACCCCTTGAATTGCTCGTGAAATGCACGACAACTTGCGTGCTTGTTCGGTGATCAAATGTTATGTGTGTGTGCTCCCTTTAGCTTCGGCTACCTCCCACAATTGTTGTAAGATTTTTCTTCTATTTTTGCTCACTTTTTCTGTCTATTATAAGCTGGTTGTAGGGCTGGGTCGCATGAATTTTGCCTGGAAGACCCACGGCTATAGTTGGATTATATATACAAATGCTGATGGAGGTGAAAGGCGACTCATTCTCGTGTGACGACACTTGCCATCACCGTGTGCTCTTGTGGCACTTTCGTTGCTTAGTCACGGGTTGAGGTGGCACACAAGGAAGCTAGATGGCGTGGGTATTGTCTAACTAAGCTTAAGCATACTTAATAAAGCATGCTCAAACCAAACGACATGATTATGACCTGATCTTACTGGTATCAACTTAAATACATAAAAAAAAAAATTAAAATGAATGTACCCCTTTAATTGCTCGTGAAATGCACGACGACTTGCGTTTACATAAAAAAAAAAATAAAAGGAATGTACCCCTTGAATTGCTCGTGAAATGCACGACGACTTGCGTGCTTGTTCGGTGATCAAATGTTATGCGTGTGTGCTTTCTTTAGCCTCGGCTACCTCCCACAATTGTTGTATGATTTTTCTCCTATTTTTCCTCACTTTTTATATCTATTATAAGCTGGTTGTAGGGCTGGATCGCATGAATTTTGCCTGGAAGACCCACGGCTATAGTTGGTTTGTATATACAAATGTTGATGGAGGTGAAAGGCGACTCATTCTCGTGTGACGACACTTGCCATCACCGTGTGCTCTTGTGGCCACAATTGTTGTATGATTTTTCTCCTATTTTTCCTCACTTTTTCTGTCTATTATAAGCTGGTTGTAGGGCTTGGTCGTATGAATTTTGCGTGGAAGACCCACGGCTATAGTTGGTTTATATATACAAATGTTGATGGAGGTGAAAGGCGACTCATTCTCGTGTGACGACACTTGCCGTCACCGTGTGCTCTTGTGGCACTTTCGTTGCTCAGTCACGGGTTGAGGTGGCACACAAGGAAGCTAGATGGCGTGGGTATTGTCTAACTAAAGCTTAAGCATACTTAATTAAGCATAATCATGGATTAACATGCTAAGCACAGATTAAGTTAAATAAGCATAGATTAAGGTAATTAAGTATGGGTTAATGGTAATTGCCTAAGCATAAGCTAATGATGGACGGTGTACCAATGTGAACGCGTCGCTGTATAGGAACGACGACGTTCATATATGGTAACCTTAACCGAATGTACTCATTTTCGGTTACAACTTGACCTCGGAACTTAATTCGAATATTATCTTAACTTAACCTCATTAATCCCAAACTCGTTTATTGTATAAACGAATTGGTATTAAATCTAAAAACTCATTCGATTACTGAAATAATTAAACCGAATATTAAGTCGACTAAAAGTCGAACTTAAAACTGGAACTCAATAACTGGCTCGAAACTTATCTTTGACGATTTATCGAATATTCTCAAATTCGATTAATACGTCAATACTGGAATAATTAATCCCGACTCACTGATGTCCATTTATTAAAATAAACAGACTGAGATTAATTATTATTATTGACTCGATTAATAAATAAAATTAACCGAATATACTTTTCGACTTAACGTCGAACTCGGAACTTAACTAGCTGAAAAACTTAAACTTAAACATTAACATGAATATTTATTAACAAAGGCTAGCCTATATTAAAGGCTAGTAATTTCCTTTATTAATAAAATGTGGGGCGTTACAGGTGCTAAGGATACTGAGGGTGCTTTTGATCAGAGCAAGCCGACCTCCAAAAGAGAGGTGTATGTGAGACCAACCAGAGATTCGGTCGATCATCTTCTTCCGGACGTCAGTAAAGAGCTCATGCGAGAAGTGGCCCTTGTACAGAGGGGCACCAAGATAGGTAATGGGTAGGTCGCCCCGTGAAAAACTAGTGCGCTCGTGGACCCAATGAGCCCAATGGTCCGCAATGTGATGGTCAAGGGTAAAGGTGCTCTTTTGCACACTGAAAAGCTGACCAGAGACCGAGCTATAATGCCCCAGGAGGCGCATGAGCTCAGCCAGTCCATTATTATCCACGCAAGTGAAGATAATAATACCATCCGCATAAGAGAGGTGCGATATGGGGGAACCATAACCACGCGTGCTATAGGTCATCCTCGGGAAGTCATGGATAAAATTGTCAAGGTAACGAGACAGATAGTCTGCCGCTAGGACAAAGAGGGAGGGAAATAAGGGGTCACCCTGCCGAAGGCCACGAGTGGAGGGAAAGACGTCAGTGGGGCTACAGTTATCTAGAACCCACAACGTGCAGTGCCCCACACACGTCTCCACAAAATTAATCCAACGCTCAGGGAATCCTATCTGAAATAGAACCTCCTTGAGAAACGACCACTTGACCCTATCATATGCCTTAGTCATATCTAGCCTCAACATAAGGTTCGGGGCTCGTAACCGGTTCGCATGAGAGATATCATGAATCATCTCTTGAGCCAAAAGGATATTATCGCTAATGACTCGATCCTTGATGAAACCACTCTGGCTCAGAGAGATGAGGGAAGAGAGGAGTGGGGCTAGGCGACCGTTAAGAACCTTGGAGATGATCTTATTGGTCACATTACAAAGGCTGATAGGTCTAAAATATGATCAGGAACTCAGACCAGGTCTCTTAGGAATCAAAACAACAGAGGTCGTTGTGAAGGACTCTGGAATCT